CACCTTGGGGAGACAGAAAAATTAGGAGTAGGCTAGGTTTTTAATATCTTGGCCTTAGAAGTTGAGCTAAAATGTTACCACTAGATTTTGTGTAAGAAAATAATTAAAAAAAAAATACAGTGATGCAAACTCTTGGAATGGCTAGATGTCATCTTGTGATCTCTGCTGGACTTACATAGGAACTTCCAGAATCTTTCTACTCCTCTGGAATTCTTCCACTCCTCTCCTTTTGCTTCAGTTGTCTAACTCTGTTTTGCTTCATGCCCCATCTGAATTAACACTCCTAGTTACCTAGTGCCAGAAGCATGAGACCTATAAATACATGCTATTGCAGTTATTCCATATTAGAGAGGGTAATATTTGGCCTGTGCTGAAAGCAAACCACTAAGAGTGACACAACTTCTATAATGTACACTAAACTTAGTGATGGATGTGTTGAGCTGGTAGTCTGTACCTATCTGTTTCTCCCTGTTTTCATTAATGTTCATGTCCCAAGTAGCCTCTGCGTTCCTAAAATGGAGTCTGACAGTACCATTTACTTTCCAAGTCCTGCTGATACAGTAAGATATAAAGAATCATCAGTCACTGCAGAGAGCATTCACTACAGAAGTTGCTACAACAAACAAGAGCAGGGAGAGAGCGAGCAGTGGAAATCCACTATACTAAGTATCTCCAACCTTGTGCTCTTCAGGTATGTGGATCTACAGTTCTCAACATATCCAACCAGCAAGGCCAACAATTGATTGGCTTTCATGGATGGCCTCTAGTTCTCAGGTTACAAAGGCCCCTTTCACTTTCATCAGACCATATTCATAACATTCCTGCTGTGCATTCCTGTGCATATTCCTTAAATTAATTTCACAGTATATATAATAATTCGCTCTAATCCCCAGTGGCTCTGGGCAGCTTCAGTGGGGCATATTTCAAAAGTGTCATCTTAATTATGACACTTTTAGTCATATTTTAATATTGACTGCAGTTTTAAAAACCATTTTTCTAAAATTAAAAGTCCCAAGTAACCTTTCTTTATAGGATCATTTTCCTCTTAGGGAACTTTACGTGGCTGCTTTCATATACCCAGAAGCTTCCTTCAGATTAAAAAGAGAGAAAGAAACACAGCACCAAAGGGGGGGGAGACCCACTTTCTGTAACTTGTTGAGAGCATTTGAATAGTTTATTCTACTAGATTTTAAAATTTAATTTTGCATAATTTATTCTAGTTTCATTAGGCCTACGAGGTGCAAGGAGTAACACCTGCTGCTCAGACTCACTTGAAATAATTGAAAATCTTGTTTCTAAGCCACCTCTCTCACATGCATCCATTTGTGTATGGACTTTACAGCTATAATGGTTAGAAACCTGTAATTTAAAATGACAATAGAAGCTCTTTGATATTTGGATTACAAGCTTTGTACAGTAGTTCTTGTTTATTGGTTTATCTGGAATTGCAACATTACACACCATCGAGTCGGCATTGACTTTTAACAACCACATAGATAGACATTCTCCAAGGTGATCTGTTCCCAGCGTGGCCCTTCAGGTCTTTCAGTGATGCAGTCTAAGCTATTGATAAAACTGGTGATTGGAAGGAAATGCCCTGAGTCTTGGTATGAGTGAAGCTTGAAATGGCTCAGAGTTTTTCAGTTTCTCTATATGCATGGATATCAATACAGTGGCTGAACTCTCTTTAAGAACAATATTAAATAACAAGCTGGCTCAGATTGGCTGCTAAATGGGATGCCCAGCATGGCAGGCTGGTGACACCAAAAGACAAAAGGTATGAGCCAAGAGGAAGTGTCTCACCTATGGATGTGCAGTGTCCCACTTGAAAGAGTTGAGTGAGACAATGTGAAGTAGGCTTCTAGTTAGTGATAAAGGATTGCCCCAGAAAATATAAAAGCCACTGAGAATAAGTGCCAAGGAAGGGACCTTAAATCAATTGGGCTTATGGAAAAGAACAGTTGACACTGAAACAGCTAATAACTTATTGTACAGAGACTCACTCGAATCGTTTTTCGTCTCATGAAAGAGCTGAACAGAATGCTAAGATTTTCACCCCAGATACTGGCTTTAATTCTGTTGTGAGGCAGAGGTATTGTAGACATTTGGAACTTCACATAAAAACCTAATCCTCATGAAGGGAAAAGATTGAAGTGCCTTATGACAAGCACAGTGGATACTGTACCTTTAGCACTCCACTTGTCATGTTGGAATATGGTGGCAAGCTGGTTGTTAGAGAACAAAAGCTGACTTTGTCTCTTTGCTGCAGATGATGAGATCTCTGATATCAAGCCTTCCCATGCTCCTGAGTAGAATGGTCACCTCTACGGTTTTACTAGAGCTACCAGTTCTGGGCTACAAAAATCCAGATAACTACTGGATGGCAGCAAAGAGATACAGAAAATTCAAACTCTTTGCTGACACATAGTGTTCACCTGGGTTTTTACAACCCAGATCTGATAGCTCTAGTAAAGCTCTGTTTGAAGGACTGGGATCCTGTTTTCCTGAATAAACATGCTATTCCAACCTTTCCCAACCTCAGTGATTTGCCAGATTCATACTTCTGAGTAGCTTCCAGGTTTTTATTTGTTTGTTTATCAAATTTATATGGCCACACATCTCACAAAAAACAATAAATATATAAAAACCATCATGATTTTAAAAAATATGAAAAAGCACAAGGCACAAGAGAGGATAGATGTTAGCCACAGTAAGGGAGCCACCTCAAAATCTCACCAGTCCCCTGGGACCCCCAGGCCTGGTGACATAACCAGGCCTTGAGGAACTTCCAAAATGATAGCAGGAATGGAGCTAACCTGACTTTGGGGGGCGGGGGGCGGAGAATGTTCCATAAGGCAGGCGCCATGGCACAGAAAACCCACCTCCTGGGACCTGCCAAGTGTACTTCCCTGACAGACGGGACCCACAGCATGCCTTCTCTGCCAGATCTGATGGGACGGGCAGATATAATTGGGGAGAGGCAGTAACCAGCCCCGTGCCATTTCATGAAACATTATGAAGTTAACAATCAGGGTTTCCTCTGTCGCTGCCCCCAGTTCCAATTCTATTAACAGGGACAAGTTGGGAAGAGGTAGCAAAGTAGTCTGATGTGATGATTGCTCTCAAGCTCTTTTCCTTTGACAACTACTTCAACTGGTGCAAGAATGCAAGAAGAAGCTTGCATAAATCCCCAAGATTTATGAGAGCAACCCCAGCTACTGGAGCAAAAAGAACCAACCTGGTGTAGTGTTTAAATGGATTGGGACTGAAGTCCACCATCTGCCCAGGAAGCTCACTTTGGTCCAGTCACTCTCTCCCAGCCCATCTGTCACAGCCTTACTTGTACAGCCATAATATGAAGGGAGATTCCTAGGTAAGCTGCCTTGAACTTCTGTAGGAAAAGAGCATATGCATCTAATAAATGAAACACAACAGCATATATTTGCTATTTGTTCTCCTCTTTTCCTACTAAAATCTCCCAAATTCTACTCACTAGAATAAATGGTTGAGGGAGAGTCTCTCCAATTATAAACTTGGTTGTGCAGCAGAGACCCCATCTGTATCCTCAGAGACTCATATATGGGACCTAAAGAGGAAGGCTTCTCTTGAGTTACTCCTTGGATATAAATGCAGTCCTTCTAAGTGCTGAGTTTGGTTGCCTCCTCCTATAAGTATTAGGATATTTTAATGATGTCAATTATCTTTGGAGAGTTTTTTTCAATATATTTTTTTAATTTATTTTTTGTGATGGGAGAAGCCTGGATGTGGTTTGAATGGAAAACTGGAGCCTAAATAAATTATTATAATTGTTGTTGTTGTGGTTGGTTGGTATTCCGAATAGAGACCTTTTCTGTTAAACTCATTAGCTGCCTCATGTAAAGATAACCCGAGAGTAAGGTATATACAAAATAACATTAGTATTTAATAACAGTTTCTTAGAAATGTGGCAAGATGAGAAATGGAATGAGTGATGACTATCTGGGAGTCAGGTGGCATATACATTGTTTTATTATTGTTTGTCGCACAAACTGTTGTTTAGGCTGGATTTGGCATTTTTGTCCACCTACTGAGTCCTTCCCAAGGACCTGGGATAGGCAGATGTTGTTGTTTAATGGCATTAAAAGTATCATCACAGCTGCCTTTTGCAATTGACTGATGGTGATTTTGTCAATGCCGATGGTCTTCAAGTGGTGCTCCAGATGTTT